TTAGCAAAACAAACGCTAATTTATTTTTCAAAAGGTGCAGCGGGCTTCAAACACGTTCCCCTCCACTGGTTTCAACCAAGCACTAAATTCGATGTTTTCCAACCAAATACGGTTGAACTTACACTTCCCCATATTTATTTGTAAGTAGATTTGAAGATACATGAGTTTCTGACTGTCGCTAGCTGAAGCTTGCTTGCTAGGTTACTAGCTGGGTGTTCTCCAATAAGGGGCCGGGGGAAACAAAGTTAGTGATTACTGGTTCCATGTTGATTTATTTCAATACAAATTGTTGGGGGGAACTGAAAGGCTCTTACCGTACTGGTTACTTTGCAGCCCGGACATTTCCCCCAAAACACATTTAGACGCTATCGCAACACAGAAAGACCTTTCAAATCCGATCATTTTTAAGACCTTCTAAATCATATTTAAGACCTTTCTTATTTTTTTGGTCATATTTAAGACCTTTTTAAGGCCTTAAATTCAGATTATAAAATGTAAGACTTTTTAAGACCCCGCGGGAACCCTGTATATTTCTATATATATATATATATATATATATTTATTTGCTTTCATTGGTTAGATGACAACAACATGGCTGACAGTTAAGACACACACAGACACCCCAGATAGCAAAAAGTAATTGAATCAACATTGAGATATTGTCACGCTGAAGATTTCAATCAACATTGATGTCAGAGATTGAAAATGAACTAACAAAAAAAGAGCCATTATTTATTCAGTTGATTATTACGATTTAATTCAATTATATGAACATTTTGTACATTTTTTGTCTACTTTAGCACACAAAACATTCTCTCTTTTAAAGGTCTTATCATATGCTTTTCTGGTTATTACCCATCCCCTTGTGTGTTATGTAGGTTTTTCTGCATGTAAACGGTCTGCAGAGTCACAAACCCTCAAAGTACACCCTGTAGCGAGTAAAACTCTAACACAGAAAATACCTGTCTATGCAGCGCTGTATGGAAGCTGTCAGCCGACTCGCCCAGCCCAGCTGTGTGTGTGTGTGCTCAGGCTGAGTTCCTCTGTGTCTCGCTGTCTCGCAGACCCCATGCCATCATCATGTTCTGTTTAAAGCAGCTTTGCTAGACGTTGATAACATGCATTCTTCACATGCTGAATATATGGATTTGAAAAAATGCACGTTTTGCAACATAACACAAGTTAAGGACATTTCTTGACATAATAAACATCTAGCAAAGCTGCTTTAAACAGAAAATGACGATGGCCTTTGAACACAGATTCTGAGGATGGTTTCTGCTTCTGCTTTTATCCATCAGGTCAAAATAGGATTCACACACCTGGCATCATTGTGATATATCAGGCCTCAGCCTCTTCAGCACATCACAATCAAAGAATTTAAGAATAAACAAATATAACAATTACAATCCAGTGCCTCTTGTCAACTGGCAACTCACAATTCCACACATTTCAATTTCACAGGCAAATGGGACTTCATGCTTAAAATGACTGCATGTGCAAGTACATACATTGAAGTTTACCTGATCACTAACAATGAACTTGAACAGTAGAAATACTGGATATGCCCCTCTTTTGAACTGGCAACTTACACATCCACACATTCTTTGATTCTCTATTTCAGAAGGGAACTTATATGCTTCAAATGAAATGAATGCTGTGAGGTTTTACATGAGCACTAACCACAATGCACTAGAACAGGCGAAACATAGGTTAAAGTCATGTCTGGCTTCCCCATTAACATTCACAGCAAAAGCTTTGTTTTCCGAGAGCTTATGCACTGCGAGCGTCGAGAGCCAAGCTCTTAAAAGATAGTCTGAATGGCTTCAAAGGTATACCTCATCTCCTTTGGAAAATCCATGTTCATTGCATAAAGTAGGCCAAAGAGGTATGCAAAGGCAGTAGAGAGGTCTGGTAGGTCATGCAGTACAATGGTCCCTTCCAACACAACAGCCACGTCTCGCACATTTGGCGATATGGCGGCATCATCATCTTCAATGACGGTGAGGATGGCCACAGACACACCTCTGAGCAATCGTTCTTCATGGTCAGTGTCCTGAGGAAAAGTAAAATATGCATGAATGAGTGCTATGGAAAACTAAACAACAAAATACATATCCACTGATTCTAACTTTAGCACCAATCTACTGAGTCTTACCATTCAGCTTGTGGAAGTTATAATTGCAAATCAACAGCACGGCATCTCTGGGCTCAAAATTAAATCTTACACAAAGTGTATTGTGCATAAAATGTATAACTAGTTTAGCTAGTTCCAAAGGTAGATAAAATAGCTAAGTGTGTTTGGTCTAACTTGAAACGTGTGTTTTGCTCCGCTCATCGGTCCGTCAGCGGCTGAGCTTTAGGTGAGCACTGAGCTGCGTGACCTAAACACGGCAAGTGTTGCGGCAAAGTATATATTTTTTCTCTCTCTCTTAATTCCCCAAGCCCCAAAATTCACTCGATGATTAATATACCCGTTTTAGGAAAAGTCACGAAGTTTGAGATGTGTTTTACCCTCAACTAAACAACAAGACCTGTAACACAACAATGTCAGAGTCACCGGCTGCCGGCTACCCCAATAAACAGACGTTAATAACCGGTGTAACGGCGGAACAACAATGCCGCCCCCCCCCCCCCGTTCCGTGTATCGTCACACATACACACAAGTTCTGTATAAAACGTATGAACACGGCTCACAGCGAAAATGTATAACACATACATTTCCGCCAGTCAAGGCTAAGTTTCAACACAGTGGCAACGTTGTCATATCCCAATCAATGCTGTGTGTAAAGTTATAGCGTTATATGTCTGGCTCGGTTTACTTTAACACCGGTCATCTCACCATTTAAATGCATTATAGACGCCTTCAGGTGCTTGAACATAAATTCAACGCCATCTGTAGCTAAGCTAGCAAACCTAACTGTGGTGGGTAGTATCTATCTTTTGGTTTAAATAGTACAGTGCACTTTACTGTTAACATTCCTTGTTAGGTAAAACACACACTTACCTGATTAGGCAAACGAGGTAGACAAATGTCCCAAGAATCCCCAACGTCACAGCGATGTGTCTGACAAATTCACTCAGCGCAGCTCGCCCGCTCAGAGACAGTGACAGCCGGGACCCTGCAGAAACCCCGTAGACGAAAGCAATGCGCATGCGCGCACTGCATAGCAAGCAGTTGACATTCAAATGTAAATATTAACTATTCTGATTGGAGGGGAGAAAATACATATTTTAAGAAGGAGAACTCTGATTGGTTGCTCATTTGATATATGTATTGACGTTCAACTTTTACTGGTTCTCTCTTGCATCTTGTCTGAGGTGAGTGTGTGACTGTTCTTATAAATTCATTGTGAAGCTGGTTAAGATTTGTTTCTAAAATAAGGGCACATTTATGTCATTTATTAACAAGCAGGTTAAATAAAGTAATGTTTGAAGTCATTCAACTATGAACAATTAAATATATTTCAAGGCATACTTTATTTATTCAAGGTTGGAAGAAGTAATCTGATCCTTTACTTTAGAACAAATACTCATTAGCACATTTCTTTGCTAAATATATTTTGCTAAAGTATCAAAAGTTTCATGTAGATCTGCAATAAAAATATTTTTGGGGTATGGGGGTGTCTGGGACCCGGAGTAATCCCGGCGGGCGGGAGCTGTTATGTCCCATCATGACACGTATGGTGTATATATATTATAATGCAGCGCAATCTGTGTGCTCCCTGCCTGTCGGCTGTGCTGATCGATGTATAATAAGGCTCTGCTGCCGTGATGTGCACTGAAAAGTGTTTCTGTCGCAATATTATCGTTGTCGAGCTAGCTAACTAGCATACATTGTCACTATCTGCTAACGTTAGCTTTAGCCTTCGTTTTCTAATAGTTTTTTTCATAGGCTATAAACGGAGGTGGTATAAGTAGGCTATAGATCTTGTACTTGAGTAAAAGTAGAAGTACTCAGATCTTGTACTTGAGTAAAAGTAGAAGCACTCAGATCTTGTACTTGAGTAGTGGGGGGGGGGGGAGGGGTGCAGAGCTTCGTGACCGCGGAGCGTGTGAACGTTGTGATCAGCTGTTTTAGAGACCGACTCTGCTTTGTGACACAAGTTACGGTAAGCATTTCAGATTGTTGCCGCGCATGCGTACCTGCGTACCAGTTATGTGCGCCCCTGGCTGACATGGATGACAGTTAAGACACACACAGACACACTATAGCTCAGTTATATTTTTAATCAAAAAACTATTGAACACTGAAGTAACTATGATTGAATTGACTACAAATATGGCAATGGTGGTAAAGACTACAACAGCCATAATCCATTCTTTGTTTCAGGGACCTCTGCACCTGACCCTTTGATGTGTGATATTTTCATAACATGTCTGCATAGCAAGCAGTTGACATTCAAATGTTAATATTATATATTTCGATTGGAGGGAAATTACAAAAATATTTTAAAGAAGGAGAGCTGTGGTTGGTCGCTCATTTTTTAAAATTCGATATATAGTTTGGTTAAACCAGAGACTGTCCTCTCGTTCATCTTATCTTGTCTGGGGTGAGTGATCATTCCTCTTGTGAATTAATTGTGAAGCTGGTTAAAGCAGAATGTCTAAAATAAAGAGCTTATTTTTGTCATTTATGAACAAAGGAAAGCAGGTTAAATGATTCCATAGCTTAAATAAAGTAATTTTTTGAGTCATTCAACTATGAACAATTAAATATATTTCAAGGTATACTATATTCAACGTTGGAAGAAGTAATCAGATCCTCTACTTTAGTACAAGTAGTCATTAGCACAATTGTTAGCTAAATGTACTCCAAATATCAAAAGTAAAAGTAGTCTTTATGCAGAATTCATATTTTCACAGAATGATATTATGGTAATTGTATTATCCTGTTTTTATAAATGCAAGAGCATTTAAGCATTTACAACGTGGACCAAATGTTTAATCACCATGTGTGCAAGCATTGTGTTTGCAAGGTTTAATTTTAATTTTATTTTCACAGAGTGACGACTATTGAGCAGTTCATTACTGGTGAGTGTTGGTCAAAGACAGTGTTTGTAGTAACATATACCATGACAATATGTGGAACTTTCCAGTCTTTTCTTTGCAGGGTTTAATGCTGTGTTTTCCCCACAGATTGACAGCTTTGAGCAGTTCTCTACCGGTGAGTTGTGGTCCAAGACACTGTCAGTAGCATAAAGTATAATGAAAACAGATAGGCCCTTTATTAGTGTAAATCTAAGTGATTAGCAGCTTCTAATACAATTGATAATTTTTTTGTTTATAACTATTGTATGCTAAGCTATGCGATTGTATTGTACATTGTGTTAAGTAATTATATTTCCATGTCTGTGATGCTGATTAGTTTCTTCTCTGTTCTAGTTAAACAACCTACCGGCTTGACCAGCTACCCATCTACCTACTCATCTACCTTCTTCACTAGCTACCTATCTACCTTCACCACCTTCTCATCTACCTTCTTCACTAGCTACCCATCTACCTTCACCACCTTCTCATCTACCTTCTTCACTAGCTACCCATCTAGCTTCTTCACCAGCTACCCATTTAACTTCACCGGCTACTCATCTACCTTCAACACCCAGCTTTATCTCGTGAGCAGTTACAGTAAGTACATTTTTGTTGAACAGGATGCATCAACTATTAATGGACTTGTACGCTTTTGTTGCAGTTGAAATAAGTAATTGCGTAATTATTTGTACTATTTAAGGGGTCTGCTAATGTCTTTATTAATTCTAACAATGCCTACATACTTTCAGATGCCACGTGGTAAATCGTCCCGCCGTTCCCAGGCTGCAAAGCTACGCGTGGCTGGGACACGTGTGGGACATCAGCAGCCTGGCAATGCCAGTTTCGCACGTAAGTAGTCGAGGATTTTGTCATTCAATTTTGTATATGTTTAGGGTGTCCATTTTGGTTGTATCATTGTAAAATGTTTTTGCATGTGCATTTTTTACAGGCAGGCTCGTGCACAGATACACCCCTCTGTGGGCAAGCGAGCTAGTTATGATGAGGAGAATTGACTGAAATACACTTGATTTCTTTGCATTCATTTTTAGATAACTATCATGAAGCAGTGTTTGAAACATGGATTTGTTTGAAATATATACATTTTAAAATTCAATCACCGGTAGGACCCTTTATGCATTTGAGCCCTTTCCCTTCTAAAATCCTCTGCACGTGCCCGTTTACAGGTGTTATTGTAGGAAGGTGTGTTATTATTGCTTACATAATTTAAGAATTGTAAAGGTTCATTAAGTTTAATGTCGGTGTCATTTTCTCTGTTTTTAAATAGCCGCTGGCGGTACGGGTAACCGCCATAGAGTGCAGAAATGGCCAATTTCGTCCCTGACAGGACGACAACACAAGATGGTCATACCAGCGGAGTCTCCAGACAAGGAAGTATGAATTGTTTTCAGATTTTGTTAACAAAGTCTGGGTAATCATTAGTGATTTTCATTTGAAATAATGTCTTCTGTTGTTACAGTTTGTCCTCCTTGTTGGAGCTTCACATCTCCGTTCCATCGTCGATGGAATTGTGAAGATGCCAGAGGGAAGGTTTTCCTTTGGTGCCATGTCCACACCGGGGGCATGCGCAACCCAGCTGCGAACCGAGGCAGCCAATGCTGTGCTGCCTAGGACACCAGATGCAGTCTGTGTGATGGCTCCGAGCAACAACCTAACATCCAGTAGGACCATCACCGAAGCAGGAGAGGACTTTGCGGAGCTCCTCGCCACTGCCCGCAGTCGCTGGCCCAACGTAAGCTTATTTTTTATTGTATTTATTATAGTTCTTATAATATTACATTTTGTATTCTTATTGATGTGGTTGTATGTTTATGAATTTCTGAAAAATTGACATTTTTTTATCAACAAATTGTGAAAAATAGCGTACCTTTGTAACTTTGATTAGGTTTTTGCCATGGACTTCCCCCCGCGCCTTACCGTTGACCCTGACTACCAAGACATGATGCGTCAGGAATTTCGTCGTGTTGCGGCACGTATGGGTATGTTTAACAAATATTTAGGTTCAAGTACTACCGTAAATCATTTTCCTATTTTTCATTATTCTTTGTTTTAAAAGAGCAAAATATAATATCTGTGTGGATATGTTAGTAATCTTGATCTTGTTGGTTTTTTTTAGGCGTGAAGTACACACCGCTTGCTGAGTACTTCCCTTTCAAAGAACTTGACCTGTGGAGCAGAGATGGCGTGAGTGACATGGCAAATGGAAACGTTTTCTCTGTATACTTGTTTGTAGCTGAAATTCCAAGTTCCGTTCTTGAAAAAACATATTGAAGGTTATGTGCTATTTGTAAATGTATTTGTTTTTGCAGGTGCACTTGAGTGACAGTGCGGGAATGCCAATCCTGGTCGGTTCTATCTGGAACGCAACATACATGCAACTTGTTCCAGCCGAGCCGAAGCCATCTCCTGTTGTCCACAGAAGATCACCGCCTGCGAGGAGAGTCACTCCAAGGGTGATTGTCAAAGGAGAGGTTGCTAAATCACCGCAACTGGATCCTTCCAAGTGGACCGTTTTCGGCCAGGGCAGGAAGGTAATTGTGTGGCAGACATCTTTCAATAAGAGTGATATTCCCTGAGCAGTTTGCCTTGATAATGATGGAAGAGTACCCATTTGATTAACACAAGCTATGCTATTTATCTTTACAGAGGAGCCAACACGATGAACCTGAGCAGTCCATTGATGCACTTAAAGAAGCAGGGACTGTTCAGCAGGAGGTAGGTCAACTTTGTAGTATGCTTTGAAATCATTGGGGTATGTTTATTGCAGTTTATATGTGCATTTCTTTTTCTAAAACAGTGTTTCTTCATTTTTATTTCACAGGAAGTGGAGGAGAGTTATCTTCCACTGACACCTGTGTGGTTTAGCAGTGCAATGTTGGTTGAGATGGACAAGATTAGTCCATCCCATCTTCCTGGCCCTGATGAGTGCACACCACCGGTTCCAACACCACAAAAGGTAATTTGTTTGTATGTTGGTTGATGCCCTATTATAAAATGTATCCTTCCTGACAAACTTTAAATGTATTACAGTGAGGACAACTTATACTGTCCATAAGGAGTTATTAGTGGAGGATTAATCATTTTGTTTTCCTTACGTTAGAAAGCAAAGTTGGAGCTGAAGCAGAGGGCTCCTGCCTCCAAGAAAACCCTGGCAAAGCGACAGGTTGTTCTTGTTTTCTTCTTTTTTAAAGGCAATATAGGACTTGTTTAAAACTAAGAAGTTACACGAATATCGGTGGTGTTATTTATTCTCAAGTTTACTAAATTGTTTTGTTTTTTTAGGGGGAGGCAGCTCCCATTGTTGTGGAGGTGATTTTACGGCCACCTACCAGTAGAGGGACAGTTGCTGTGGAGCAGCAGGTCTGTGCTCTTTGTGTGAACGATGTGCTTTCAGAGTGACATTTGAATGAATCATGCTAATTTATTGACATAGTTACTTTTGCTCATTGTTAAAATAAAATAGTTTCAGTTGTTAGCCTGCATGCAGTCAACGTTGTTTCAAGTGTACACAATCAATGACAAGAAACCTCTCTTTTGAGTTCCATTCAGTATGTGTGTGGGTAAGTAGAAAAACAAAAGTTAATATATAACAATAATCATTTTGTATTAGTAATTGTATATCTTTCTATTATTTAGTTAAACGTTTGTGAAACAATTTAAGACACATAGTGTTTTTAGCAGTTTTTTTATATATGAATTTTCTTCTAGGAGGAGCCATTGCCGGGGTTGGAGCCATTGCCAGGAGTGGAGCCATTTCCAGGGGTGGAGCCATTTCCAGGAGTGGAGCCATTTCCAGGAGTGGAGCCATTGCCCCGCGCAGAGCCATCACTGAGCGTGGAGCCATCATCCAGCAAGGAGCCATCATCCAGCAAGGAGCCATCATCCAGCAAGGAGCCATCATCCAGCAAGGAGCCATCATCCAGCAAGGAGCCATCATCCAGCAAGGAGCCATCACCCAGCGTGATAGTGGATGTTGATGAGGACAACGGATGCAGAACAGGTAAGGGCTATGCTTGCATGTGTTCAGAAAAAGTGCAGCTGGCTGTTGTCGCAGGGACTGTTGTGAGGTATGCATCCGTTTCTGACGATAAAATATCTGTTGCATGTTCTATAGCGGCTGCGATCAAACATTTGATTGCGCCTGTGTGTTCGTGGAGCAGTACAGATATCGATGCCATACGTGTTGCAGGGTCAAAGCTTAACTCGTTTGTATTAGGGGAAGCCCATAAAATGAATGTAAAGCCAAAGAACTTGTGCAGGTTGGTTGAGCAGACCAGTGTGTTTGGACGTAAGTGGAACGTCAATATGGGTCTGCCAGTGTACGGCGAATTTAATTTGTCTGAAGGGGAACAGGTATTGTCGGAGAAGCTGCTTGAACACTTATCCAGGGATGGCATGTGTCTGTTTAGCCTAAATTCCGCAGCCAGTGTCATTATTCAACACAATGACTGTATTGTGGTCGTTGATTGTGGCACACGTGCTGCGTCTGGGTTAGCATCCAGTTATGGCACATCTGTAGCCGTGTTCAACACATGCCTTAATGACCTGATGTTTTACATCAGGAATCTCAATAATTCATTGAATGCACAGAAGTTTAGCATTACAAGACTTTCTGTGAAAGCAGCTGAAGTTAATTCGGAGACGGCTAGAGTCATTGATGGGGATATGGGGTGTGTCAGGGGAACATTCAGTCAGGGTGATCAACGCTTTAAATATGCAGGACTTCAGTGCATGGCTGTCAGTTTGGTAGGCATAGCCAAACACAACATTGACAGTGTGTTTACATGGCAGACCGACAACCTGGATAAAGTTGTTGTACTTGGTGACAATCTGTACACCTCCCTGCGTGACCAACAAGGTATCAGTGGAGGATACAGTTTACTTTCGGTTCCAGATCTGCCCAAGGAGACCATTATCGACGGACAAAGATTTCTGTTTCAATACAGTGACTTTGTGTCTGGAGATGTGGATGTGGTTGAGGGTGATCTCATTGATAAGGGTGTGCAAACCACTTTAAAATACGCACTGGAAAGCATGTGTAGTAAATATGACACATGCTTTCTGACAATGAATGGCGCTACATGTGCCATCATTGGTCAAGGTGGACACTACGCAGTGGTCGACTCCCATGCACGCAGTGCGTCTGGGATGAGCGATGGCGAGGGGCGTAGTGTTGTTCTGTATTTCAGAGGCCTTGAACACGTGTTTGAATACATATGGACATTTGCAGCGTTCCTCAAGAAGTCTCAAAAACAGTTTGAGATCGCTGGTGTCCGAGTCACTCACATAGGCCCAATTGAAAGCAGTAATCTGTCTTTGGGTCCAAGAGTGACTCCCAAAACGACAGAGACTGATTTGGGTTGTAGTTCAGCTATTCAGTCCACCAACATTCAGATGGGTGCAAAGCGTAACATTCCAAAGGGATCTTCTGAGTCTCAAAAACTGTTTGAGATCGCTGGTGTTGGAGTCACTCAAATAGGCCCAATTGAAAGCAGTAATCTGTCTTTGGGTCCAAGAGTGACTCCCAAAACGACAGAGACTGATTTGGGTTGTAGTTCAACTATTCAGTCCACACTTGGCTGCACCAACATTCAGATGGGTGCAAAGCGTAAGATTCGTAAGGGATCTTCTGCTTGCAAAAAATTAAAAAAGAGTGATGTTACCGCAGTTAATTCAGACGTTGCTTTTGTCAAAGAAGTAAGAAGTGGACGGCTGCAGTTTAATCCTCTTAGTCATCAACTTGCACAAGCTCTTTGTGAGCAGTTACATGTGCCGTCAGAGAAAGTAGATGTTGTGTCTACACAAATTGGTTTAATAGGGGCTCCATGTCTCAATGAAAAAATAGAGGGTGACGGAAACTGTTTCTTTAGAGCAGTGAGTCAAGCTGTGTGTGGTACACAAAGGCATCACACAATAATTAGGCGTGCAGTGGTTCATCAAATGCAGAGCAATGCTGTGCCTTATGAGCGTATTTTGACCTCCTCCATGTCAGAATACCTCAGCACATCCAAAATGCGGGAGGTTGGCAGTTGGGCAACAGAATTAGAAATTCAAGCAGCAGCAGATGCGTTTGGAGTTAATATATTCACATATTGTGATCCACGCTGGCTAAAATATAGTTGCGAGAACGGGCAGTTGTCTAATCAGGGGGTTTATTTGGAAAACCGCAATGGTAATCATTATGAGACTGTTGTGTGTGTAAAACAACCTAATTTGCAGAGTTGTTATGGGTATTGCAAATTTGACACTTCTTGTCCAAGACTGTACAATGTCAGACGGACAACTAGAGGCAAAAGGAGGGTTACCGAACAAACGCATGGTACATCGTCTGCTGGGGACACAGATTGTGTGGAAAAGAGTGATGTAAGTAAAATCACTCTTGAATTTAATCCTTTGTGCAATGAAGTGGCAAAAACACTTTGCACAAAGTTTAATATAGACTTTGAAAAGCAGGATGTACAGGGACCTACAGTAACTGGGTCCCTAGGTGTGGTCTGTAAGACCGAAAAAATTAAAGAGGACGCCAATAGTTTCTTCGGAGCGGTAGCTCATGTTCTCAGTGGTTCTCAGAAGAGCCATCGAAAGATTAGAAAGACTGTTGTGAAGCATATGATGAATCACGCAGAACAAACTAAAGTAGTTGGGGGATCTGCTTCAATTTCAGACTACATTGAGAAGTCTCGGATGAAGTATGTAGGACATTGTGCCACAGATGTAGAAATCCAAGGGACAGCAAATGCTCTTGGAGTGGACATTTTTATCTGCAGTGGGGAAAAATGGCTCAAATACACTTGTAATTGTGCAATGCTTTCAAAAGAAAAAATATACTTGAAACATTGTGATAAAAATCATTTTGAGCCAGTGGTTTGTATCAAACCTTACGATGAACAAAGGTGCTTTGAATTGTGTAAAGTGGGGGGTTTGTCAGAGACACGGTCTATGCGTAGCAGTGTTGATATCTGTACTGGGAAGGGTGGGGTTAAAGACAATGCAGAGAGTGTTGCCAGCTGTAGTCGTAGGCATTCAACATATTTCAAAAAGATATACAGCTCAAAAATTAAACGGTATTATAAAAGTAACACAGGGTACCAGCAAACAATTAGGGATGCGTCCATGAAAAAGTATAGTAATGCAGATTATCAAGAGATAGTAAGAGTCGGTCTTAGAAAAAGGTATTTCGAGGATGAAGATTACAAACACAGAGCAATTGGACGTACTCAGGTTAGATACTATGAAGACCCATTGCATAATCAGATGAGGAAGGATTCAAGTAAAAGAATATATAAAAGTAATCCGTTGAAGAAAAAAGAATATAGTGTAAAAAAATATCATGACGATGATCTGCATAGAGAAAGGGTTCAAGCATTAAGCAAACAGAACTATAGACTAAAAGTTTTACATAGAGAGAAAGTTATAGCATTTAACAAACGTAAATATAGGCAAAATAAATTGCATAGAAAGAAGGTGAAATCCATGACTTCAAAAAGGTATCATGGTAATCCAAATTATAAGAAGCGAGTAACAGCTAGCAACAAATTGAAGAGGCAACAAATGCTAAAAAATAGAGAGGTATTTGATATTGTGATGCAGCAGTTTTTGGCCAAAGTTAAGAATGGACCCGTTTTTGTTTGTAGCTGCTGCGAGAGGTTGTTATTTGAATCGCAGGCCTTGCACTGTAAAAAAGACAAATATAAGAATCAAGAACTCGCCAATAAATGCATCAGAGACAGATATTTACACACATGTACTGATGACTGTGAAGTACCCTGTGTTTGGATTGATATTGGGAGAGGGCAGTCTTGGATCTGCAGCAACTGTGATAAGAAACTTAAGAGAGGTGTGATGCCACCTGAATGTGTTCTAAATAATTTGGCAGTAGACCCCATTCCCCCAGAATTGGCTTGTTTGAACAGCATAGAGCAGCATTTAATTGCCAGAAATATACCATTTATGAAGATGGTGGCATTGCCCAAAGGTGGGCAAAATGGAGTTCACGGACCGGTGACGTGTGTTCCAGCCAATATAGTCCAAACTACAAATTTGCTCCCCCGCTCAAGGATGGAAGGTTCCATCTTGCGAATAAAGTTAAAGCGTAGATTGACCTACAAAGGTCATTTTAAATTTCAATTTGCAGACCCAATGCGCATAAAGCGTGCATTACAACATTTAAAAAGAAACAATAAGCACTATAGGGATATTGAATTTAATAAAAGTTGGTATAACGAGTTTTGTAGGGAGGAGGAAGAGAATGAACAAACCCACACCAAGGAAACATCATCAGAGGCTGCTGAGGAACAGCCATGTTTGTTTCAGGACATGGATTTGATGGCTGTGGATACTGATCTGGAAATTGCAGATCAGTTTTCAGATAGAGAACTGAACATGGCCCCAGCAGAAGGCAATAGTCCTGCAAAAGAAAGTTCATTCATTCCTGTAAGGGTTCCCGAGTTTGAGGAACTGGATGACGCTCTGCTTAATGAGTTTTGGAGGGAACGGGATGATGACTTTGTAGACAATTCGACCTTGATGGATTTGCCAACTAATGAAACGTCTGATGCTAATGCTGATGATGAGCTTTTACACGACAGGCAACAGCATTGCATGTTTCAGGACACATGTCTGATGCCTGTTGATATTGGACAGGAAGTGTTGGATCAATATTTTGATAGTACATTAAATGTCGCTCCAGCAGAGGGTAATAGTCCTGTGAGGCTGTTAGCAGACATTTCCAACGAAGCAAAATGCTTTCCTGTATTGTTCCCACTGGGCACTAACACCTACCGTGATTCGAGGCCCCGCAAGATAACATTAGCACGCTATTTGAATATGCGTGTTTTAAATGCTGATGTTAGGTTTGCACAAAATATAGAATACATTTTTTATGCTCAGTATTTGTCTGAGGTGCAACAAGTATTGTCCAGTGTGTCTATTGCATTGCGAAAAGGCAAAGCAGGCTTTCCATCCAAACCGATAGAAGATAATTTGTTGAATCAGGAAACCATAAGAAAACTGTTGCAATTTGATGATGGCTTTCGTTTTCTCTCACCTATTAGAGGTACTCCAGCATTTTGGCAGCGCGCACAGAGTGACCTCCTCGCTTGTGTGCGTCAACTTGGTGTGCCTACCTGGTTTTGTTCATTCTCTTCGGCTGATCTTAGGTGGGCAAATTTACTCGACGCTATTTTAAAACAGGAAGGTAGAACACAGACCGCTGACGATTTAGATTGGGCAGACAGATGTGAACTCTTGCGTCGTAATCCTGTGACAGCGGCCAGGATGTTTGACTATAGATGGAATTGTTTTTTGAAAGAAGTACTTATGTCCCCTTCACACCCAATTGGCAAGATTGTAGATTATTTCTATCGCGTGGAATTTCAGCAGCGTGGCTCACCTCATGTGCATTGCTTGTTTTGGATTGAGAATGCACCCAAAATTGATAAGAATACAGATGAAGAGGTGATTCAATTCATCGACACATATGTGACATGTGAATTACCATCACAAGATGAGCCGTTAAAGGACATTGTGACATCTGTGCAACAGCATTCCAAAAGACACTCTAAAACGTGTAAGAAAAATAACACTGTTTGTCGATTTAATTTCCCCAGGCCAGCTACTGCTAGTACATTTATATGTCGCAGCAGTGAAGATCAATGCTTAGCAGAATGTAGCTGTAACTTGACACCATGCGAGTGTGTAAAATTAGAGTCTTTGGCCGAAAAAAAGGAGAAGAAGGAGTTTGCAGTTAAAATTATGAACTCCGTCAAAAAGGCTCTTTCAGACGAAAATGTAACATTTGAAAGCCTGGAACAATTATTTGAAAGTCTGGGGATTAATCAAGCGATCTTCGAGGCTGCTTACAAATTGGTTGGTAGAAAGACACACGTTGTATTGAAAAGACAAATTGGCGAAGTCTGGATTAATCAATACAACAAACCACTGTTAAAATGCTGGAATGCCAATATGGACATTCAGTATGTGGTCAATGCCTATGCATGTGTTGTCTATATAATTTCCTACATCTCCAAGGCAGAAAAGGAAATGGGATTATTATTGGGTAATGCACATAAAGAAGCATCACAGCAGGGCAATCTAGATGCCAAGGATGCATTTAAAAAGTTAGGGAGTGTGTATTTACACAACCGAGATGTGTGTGCCCAAGAGGCAGTCTACAGATTGACACACATGTCCCTGAAGACATGCTCTCGCTTGGTCCAATTTGTGCCAACAGGGAAAAATACAATTAAAATAAGTAGGCCATTAAGTGTGTTAAAACAGATGGCAGATTCAAATAGTCTAACCACAGACAACATGTGGATGACCGGTTTTGTTGACCGTTACAAAAATCGGCCAAATGACGCGGTTTTTAATAATATGTGTTTGGCAACATTCGCATCTGAATACAGGGTTATGTCACAGAGTGAAAGTCTCAAAAATGCCATCGAACTCCAAAATAATTTCGGGTTTATTATTAAAAGAACGCGAACAAAAGCAGCAGTTGTGCGTTATGCAAAATTTTCAAAAACAAAGTCTCCGGAATTGTTTTTCTACAGCAATTTCCAATTGTTTCTGCCGTATCGCATCGACGAGCAGTTAAAGCCACACAATTGGGAAACG